TATTGTGAGATATTTTATTTTTTTGCAGCTATTGTGAAGGGGAGTGTTTCCATGTACTCTTTCTCTGATTGCTTATTATTGGAATATAGAAAGGCTACAGACTTTTGTAGATTAATTTTTTAACCTGCACCTTTACTGAATGTGTTAATAATTTCTAGGAGTTTTCGGGTGGAGTTTTTGGCATCTCTTAGATAAAATATCATATCTTCTGCAAAGAGGGATAATTTTATCTCTTCTTTTCCAATTATTACTCCTTTAATTTCTTTCTTTTGTCTTATTGCTATTGCAAGAGTCTCAAGCACTGTGTTAAAGAGAAGTGGGTATAGTGGGCAGCCTTGTCTGGTTCCTCATTTCAATGGGAATGCTTCCAGTTTTTCTCTATTTAGGATGATGTTGGCTGTGGGTTTGTTATATATGGCTTTAATTATGTTGAGGTGTGTTCCCTCCAGTCCAATTCCCTCTAGGACTTTGAACATAAATGCATGTTAAATTTTGTCAAAGGCCTTCTCTGCATCTATTGAGATGACCATGTGGTTCTTGTCTTTGAGCCCATTTATATTATTTATGACATTTGACTTATGTATATTGAATCATCCCTGCATCTCTGGAATAAAGGCAACTTGATCATGGTGGATGATCTTTTTGATGTGTGTCTGTATGCAGTTTGCAAGTATTTTGTTGAGAATTTTTGCATCTATGTTCATTAAGGATATGGGTCTATAGTTTTCTTTTTTCTTTTTTTTTTTTAGTCTTTTTAAGACAGGGTCTCCCTGTAGCCCCAGCTGTCCTAAACCTCACTATGTAGACCAGGCTGGTCTTGAACTCACAGAGATCTGCTTGCCTTTGCCTCCCAAGTGCTGGGATTAAAGGCATGTGCCACCATGCCTGGCTTTTGGTTGTATCTGTACCTGGCTTTGGTATTAGAGTGATGCTGGCTTCGTAGAAGGAATTTGGAAGTTCTCCCTCCATTTCTATCTTTTTGAATAAATTAAATAGCATTGGATGTAGATCTTCTTTAAATGTCTAGTAGAATTCTGCTGTAAATCCATCTGGTCCTGGGCTTTTTTTAGTTGGGAGGCTTTGCATTACTGTTTCAATTTCCTTATATGTTATGGGTCTGTTTAAACTGTTGATTTCTTCTTGGTTTAACTTTGGAGGTTCCTGTGATTTCAGATATCCATCTATTTCTTTTAGACTTTCAGATTTAGTAGCGTATAAATTTTTTAAATGTTCCCTTATAATGGTCTGGCTTTTGTTTGGTGTCTGTTATGATGCTTCCCCTTTCATCTCGGATTTTCTTGATTTGGAGGTTCTCTTTCTTTCTTTTGGTTAACTGGGCTAGCTGTCTGTCAATCTTGTTTATCTTTTCAAAGAACCAGCTCTTGGGATTTGTTGATTCTCTGTACCGTTTTCTTTGTTTCTATTTCATTAATTTATTCTCTGATTTTTGTTATTTCTTCTTGTCTTCTGGGTTTGGGTTTCATTTGTTGTTGCTTTTCAAGTGTCTTGAGTTGCAATGTTAAGTCATTTATTTGTGTTCTTTCTGAATTTTTTAATATAGGCACGTAGAGCTATAAACTTCCCTCTAAGGACTGCTTTCAGTGTGTCTCAGAGGTTTTGTTGTGTTGTATTGTCCTTTTAATTTAGTTCCAGGAATACTTTTATTTCTTTCTTAATTTCTCTTTTGACCCATTCATCATTCAGGAGTGTGTTGTTTAATCTCCGTATGTTCATGCGGTTACTGAGGTTTCTTCTGGTGTTGATTTTTAGCTTTATTGCTTTGTGGTCTGATAGAATGCATGGAATTATTTCAGTCTTTTTGTATTTGTTGAGGCTTATTTTGTGCTCCAGTATATGGTCGATTTTGGAGAAAGTTCCATGGGGCGCTGAGTAAAAGTATATTCTTTGGTGTTTGGGTGGAATATTTGGTAGATGTCTGTTAGGCCCATTTGATGTATGGTATTGTTTAATTCAGGTGTCTCTCTCTTAATTCTCTGTCCTGTTGACCTATCTAATGGAGACAATGGGGTATTGAAGTCTCCTACTATTAATGAGTCAGGATTAATCTGGGTCTTAAAG